TGGCCATCATGGCCAGGTGAGCACGTACTTACTTCAGGGATACTCTGCCATATATGCAGCAGAAAAGACCCGAAGACCGCAGTGATCTGTAATCAATCGAAGCGTTAATCTTCATCGTGCGATCCATCCCGACATTTTAAATCCTAATCTGGAGCCGCAATACTGGCTCAAAGCATCAGCTAAACATGCCTGGCTGAAACAAATATGTGACTCTTCAGATGTCAATCCAGTGCAAGTAGCCGACGGTTTGCATGCACAAGTTGTACAAGATCGTTGGGGGGAATTCAAGGTTTCGCGTGTCCAGAAAGGCATGGGTGCGGAACCCACTTGGCCCTGATCCCAACCAAACCGGGTGTGTCTCTTGCAAGGCCCTCCCTGACGTGGATTTGGAGCCAGAGACAAGTGTTTGTACTACTTCGTTGCAGTGTTTGTATGTGCCGTTCGTGCTGTTCTCAAAGGACCCGCAGCCGGAGCCGCTCTGAGAGAGCAAACACGGCGCCGACGCTTCGCAGAGACCTGGCAACATGCGGCTGGGCTCCGACACATCCGACATCGGCCTTTCTAGGGTCGACATTGCCTTGTCCGCATCGTCGCAAATGTCCGATTGAGACCGTGCGGGTGGGCGACATGTCCCTCCCTTTTGCAGGTGTTGGAGTCGTGTTATGAATCCCAGGCGCTGGATGACGTGGCCATCTCACAAGCAGAGCGGCAGAAAGTTGAGCAAGCTCAGAGCTCAGCTTCGAGAAGCCTATACGGGGGCCTCATTGGGCCTACGCATCAGATGCCTGCACAAAGCGGAGAGAGGAGAGAGACGGGGCGCTAAGCCGCTCAGCGCGGAGGCAGTGGAGAAGTACATGACCGCGGAGTCGGAGCGGCAAGAGGAGTTCCGTGAAGCTCGTGGCCAGTGGCTCTCTTCCCTCTTCGAGAGCTCCTTCTTCGGTGGCATGTCCAGCCGCTTCCAAGTGACCGGCAGCTTGGAGAAACAGGTCCGCCTCCAAGAGGAGCCGGGATCCCTTTTTTATCTTTTTGAAGCGGGGGGAGGGCGTGGGGGAAGCACGCTTCCAGGAGCTGATCAGTGAGATCAAGAAGGCCGTGCCCGACACGAAGTTCGAGAACTTGAAGAAGCTCCTCTCCGAGAAGGTGGACCTCAGCTGGCTCATCGACCAGACGGCAGCGAAGGATGCGAAAGCGAAGGCTTCCAAGACTGTCTACGTCTTGAGCTTCGACGGGGACCCCACGGCCGCGGGCGTGGAGCTCCTGGCCAAGGAGGTCACGGCCGTGCTGGAAAGCACGGACCAAGTCGAGGAGGCCAGAGGGCCAGAGGGACAGGGACGGGAGACAGGAGAGGGCAAGGCGGCTGCACAGCCGCCCGCTTTCCGCCTTGGCGCAGGTGGTGCTGAAGCTGAAGTCGCCTGGAGGACGCCCCGCAAACCGGGAAACGGGCTCTCGGCTTCCAGCTTGATCGCCTTACCCCGCGCGAGGTACGGTCACGGGCTATGGTGCTCCAACAGCAACAAATTAACAGGGGCGCCCACGCAGTTGTTTCGTTTGAGTCGAGTCAGCGAAAGCGAACTTGAGCTTGGAAACTCAGGCCTCGCGGCGGCACAGCTCCTGTGGCTCAGCAGCGAGCTGGAGCGAGCGTCACGGCAGAGAGCTCCTGTGATCTGTGATCTGAGGCGTTTTCGACAAAGAGGCGTGCGGCTGGTGTGCTGTGTGGATGAGCTGGCAGCCAGCGGCGGCTACATGATGGCCTGCTGCGCCGATCGGATTCTGCAGCTTGGCAGCGGCTACAACGTGACAGTCGCCCGTCGTGCAAGCCAGAGGCTGATACCCTGGCCAGGTGCTCGCCCTTCGCGGCAGTGGGCAGCATCGGTGTGCCTTTTAGCAGCGTGACTCGAACATGCCTTTCAAGCCTTTGCGCTACCCCGGACTCAGGATTTCTGGGGTGCCAAACGTAGTGGAGCGGTTGGACAGGGAAGGGCTCAAAGTGATCCAGACCACCGCGGGGAAGTGGAAGAGGACCGCCACGGCCTCAGAGGTGCACTGCAAAGCGGAGCGTTGGGGCACCACTTCAAGACCAAAGCAACGGCAAGAAATTGTACCTCTGAGCATTAGGTCACCACTTGGACCACTTCGAGACCTAAGCAACAGCGACAAATCGTACATCTTAGTATTGGGGCGCCACTTCGACACCAAAGCAACAAATTGCACATCTTAGCACCAGGGTACCACTTCGAGAACAAAGCAACGGAAACAAATCGTACATCCTGGCACTGGGGCACATCTTCGCGACCAAAGAAACGGCAAGAAATCATACGTCTTTTTATGGGGGTACCACTTCGACACCAAAGCAATGGCAACAAATCGTACATTTTAGCACTGGGGCACGAATGCAAGACCAAAGCAACGGCAAGAAATCGTACCTCTTAGGTCACCACTTCGAGACCTAAGCAACAGCGACAAATGGTACATTTTAGTATTGGGGCGCCACTTCGACACCAAAGCAACAAACCGCACATCTTGGCACCAGGGTACCACTTCGAGAACAAAGCAACGGAAACAACTCGTACATCTTATCATTGTGGCACCACTTCGACACCAACGCAACGGAAACAAATCGTACATCTTACTGGTCTCACTGTTGGTGCACCATTTCGATACAAAAGCAACGGCAACAAATCGCACATCTTAGCATTGGGCCGCCACTTCAAGACCAAAGCAACGGCAACAAATCGTGCATCTTAGCCCTCGGGCATCACTTCGAGATCAAAGCAACGGCTACAAATCCTACATCTTAGCACTGGGACACCACCTGGAGACCAAAGAAACGGCAACAAATCGTACATCTAAGGGAGCGTGCGGCTCTGCAAGGGAAGCCAAGAGCGCCGTTTCAGTCACAGATGCCGATTTGATGTTGTGAACCTGCACAGAATATCGTTCCTAGCTCAAACCCCAGGTCGACCCTTTCCAGGCACCCACGAAGGAGGTCTTGGCCAAAGCCGAGGAGGACTGGGTTTAGTCATAGGGGTTTCGGGGCTGAGCCGGAGAGAAGAAGACACCGTGCCAGCTCTCTTCGCCCCAGCTCACTCAGGACGTGAACCGCATCTATCGGCAGTTCTCCAGCTTCGTGAAAGGCAACCGCCCAAATCTCACGATTGAGGAGATCAAAGACGACATAGTTTCCAGAGTCATTTCGTGCCGGGGGCAGCGCGTCCTGTGATACGCTGCAGGAAGTTGCCACTGGCGAAGTGTGGTTTGGGGCCGATGCGCTGGAAAAGGGCTTGGTGGACGTCCCTTGGCGCGGTGGAGCACGAGCAAAAGAGCGGCAGTAGAGAGCGGAGCGGCGTAGCAGAGGGAGCTACTATAGAAAAGGCTATAGCTATAGGCCGAATTATATGTGGCAAGGACCTTTATGTATGATTTGACGGGTCTCTCTTTGTGTAGTGTATTCGCAATCGACAAATTATGCAGCTATGGCTCAGGGTTGAGGTGTCGCTATAGCTCCATAGAGCAGGGCGTGCACAGGGCGCCTATAGGGCTGCATTATACAGCGCACCCTCAGCAGGCCCTGGGGCCTGGCCCTGGGGCCTGGCCCTGGGGCCTGGCCCTGGTCCGGTCGCTCGGTCGCTTAAGCTTCCGAGGAGCTCCAGACCTCCTCGGAGTATTTGCTCTCGCTGATGACGCAGGGCCACGAGGTGCTGAGCTTGACTTACATGCAGAGTCGTTCCGGCCTTGGGAGTCTGGTGGGTGCGCTAGGCCCGGTAGGCTCAGAGTTGGCCAGCGCGTCAGAGTTGGCCCAAGTCTTGCGGCAATCGGCCGATCCGGGATCCCTCTCGGAGTCAGAGGCACTGCAGGCACTCAAGGTCGCGGGGGCGAAGCTCCTAAGTGACTCGACTCAGACTTGGCCGCCCTCTCTTCCAGAGCCACGTGTGCAAGCCCGGGGGCCCTTGGGATCTTTCGGAGACCGTGGTTTCTAAGCTTGCCTTCAAGCCCGACCTCTTCGCTTATGACGTCGAAGCATATGGAAATGTTCAGATATGTCAGATTATTAAATTAGGGATAAAATAGGAAATAGATACGAAATGGATACGATTCGAAATAGGAATAAAATACGAAACAAATAGGAAAAAATAGGATAGAAAATAGGTTCATCTGTGCCCAAATACTAGGAAATAGGTTGAAAATAGGAAAATATTAGGAACATATTAGGAAAATAGGAGAACATTAGGAAAATATTAGGAAAATAATAGGAAAATATTAGGAAAATAGGAGAAAAATAGGAAATTATTGGAAAAAAAAGAAAATATTAGGAAATTAGGAGAAAAATAGGAAAAATAAAAAAAAAATATAGGAAAATAATAGGAAAATAGGAAAATAATAGGAAAATAATAGAAAAATAAGAAAATATTCGGAAAATACTGGGAAGATAATAGGAAAATAAAAGGAAAATAATAGGAAAATAGGAAATTATTGGAAAAATAGGAGAAAAATAGGAAAATATTAGGAAATTAATAGAAAAATAAAGCTGTTTCCTAATTATTTCCTAATTTTTTCCTAATTTCTAATTACTTCCTAATTATTTCCTAATTATTTCCTAACTATTTCCTAATTATTTCCTAATTATTTCCTATGTCCTAATTTGGCCTTTGTTTTGGACCTAATTTCAATCCTAAATTTCCCCTATTTTTTTCCTATCTATTTGCTAGTTCCAATCCTATTTATTTCCTATTTATCCAGACAATCCTATTTTCAATCGTATTTGTTTCCTATTCAAAACCTACTATTTCCCTAATTTAATTAAATGGACATATCCCCTACATTTCCAATGGTCGAACGTCATAACTCTTCGCGGAGGATTCCGAAAGTTTCCTCCGCCCCCCGAAAGAGCTTTCCAAGAGGGAAAAAGGGTGAGGCCCAGTCCCAGGGACAGCTTAGGGAGTGCTTGCAGCATGCGCACAGCATTGCAGCTACGCCGCCTGCGCAGAGCCGCACACGGTGAGGCCCAGCATCGCCTTTTCCTCGAGGTTTCGCCGCTGACGGCAACTCTTTGGCACCACTCCGTCTCACGCTCTGCTGCTCTAAGCTCGGTGCTCCGAAAGGTTTGGAGCTGGGTCAAAAAGGTGGAGCAAAGACAAGGTCTTTGGTTTTTGGCGCCAAGAGTCTGAGTTATCTTCGCCCAGACCGCCTCTCTCGCGGCTCGAGCGAGCTCTCGGCTCCCCGCAGGGCCTTCCCGGCAGCTCCCCTTTCCCCTCCCCCCCTCCATGGGTGGCAAAGCGAAGCCGACGAAGCACACGGCCAAGGAGCTCGCTCAGAAGGACGCCGAGGGCGCCGTATGGGTCGCAGCCGCATCGCAACCGAATTCCGAAAGCCGAAAGCCGTTGAAAGGAGAAGGATGCCACCTGCAATCGCGGCGGTGGCTCTGCTGGGCTCAAGGACGCCTCGAAACACGGATCTCGGAACGAGCTGTAGAGGGATCTCTGCGCTCCTGTGCAGGATCGGCAAGGAGGGTCGGTAGGGCACTCGAAGTACAAGTGCAACATCTGCATGCAGTCTGCCCCAGACCCGTCCGCCACCCAGCAGGCCCCAGCACGCCCAGCTCTCTCCTTGTGGCCTTCTTGTGCGCTCCTTTCTCCTTCGCTGAGGAAGTCCATGCAGATGCACTTCGAGTCGAAGCATCCGAAGGAGGACTGTCTGCCACTCTGCCCTTCTTGCCCCCTTTGAAGCAGAAACTCTTCTGCAGCAGGAGTTCGCGCTGGACAAGTGCACAGACCTCCATTCAGGAACCGGTGGCACCACCCAGGGAGTTGCTGTGAGAGGCGGCATCAAAAAGCATCACAACTGAGTAGCACCTCTCAACACGGTATACTACAGGTTCTCATGCGTCAATGAATTATCTACTTCCCATCCTGGACGACCTTCGACCCGTTACACGTTTCACCCTCAAGAGGCAAGAGCTGCAGGCCTGGGGTCCTGCGGGCCTCGGTAAGTCCTGCCTCTGAGTGAGACAGGCACAGGGAAGGCAGTAGGAAGTAGGAAGGCCCATTTTCAAAGCAGTAGCTGCACGCAGCTGCACGCGTTCGGCAGTGAAAGCAAACATCTCGATCCCAGTCGCAAATGCAGCAATGCCTTGCTTTGCATCGATGCTGCGGCAGCTGTGGCTTTTAGCACTTCAGTGCAAGGGCCAAATGCGGCCTTTTCCTGACGGGGCAACCGAGGACCCGAGGACTGCGGAGGAAAACTCTTCGAGCTTTTAAAGCCGTGCGGTCGTATACAGCCACCCCGGGGAGCCGCCGGAGCCGATCAGGCTCGAGCCGTGGCAGCCGTGGGCCGTGGCGGTTTGGGAGTTTCAGCGGTTTGGGAGGCAGCCCGACTGCGGGACCGCGGCCCCAGTGCCCGCAGTCCGGCCCCCATGCCGCCATTGCCACGAATCGAAGGCGCCTTCAGTGGAATTGACCTGAACCATTTTGTGTGAGTTGTGGACTTGCTTGTATATATAGTTTGTGTATATGTGCCACTTGTGTGCAGCCGTGAATCGTGTCCGTGCTTCGATCAACCGAAGCACTTTGTATTGCACGTCTGTCGCCAAGTGGTGACAGCTCTCATGGTCTGTAGCAAAGCAGTATAATGACAGTCTGAAATTGATAGACTTGCAAGTGCTCTCAAGAGGCATGGCGGGCGAGGTCCTTGGGGACGGGGAGCTGGCCTGTTACGTCGTGGGCCGATGCTTTCAAGAGCGCCCTTTTGGCAACAGGCTGACTTCAACCCCGTACGCTGCCCGGCCTGCGACGCGTTGCTCAGCCCACGGCCCGCGACGGACAGAGCGCTCAATGTGAGGCGTCGCCGACCACGAAGACGCCGCTGTCCCGCATGGCACGGCTCTTCCGAAAGGCGCTTGAACGTACTGCCGTGCTGGCTCTTTCGGTCTCCGTCTCCAGGGCACTTCAGCCGTGGTCCAAGACGACGCACACTACCAGCGCTGCGAGGACCTGCAGAAGGAGGAGCCGTAGCGGCGGCAGACAGCGCAAGACAGGCAGAGAGGAACCCCCCAATTGCGGAAAGAATCAGAGTCTGGAGGAGAAGCACATCTTGAGACGATTCTGGATCCTGCTCTTCGTCACTGCAGCCGGGAGCTCAAGCATCTTTGAGAAAGGAAGATATCAATAGATAACACCTTCCGCTGCTGCGGGCAAGATCTGCTGAGATCCTCTCGAGCTCTTTGTCTTTCCTCATCGACCGCTTCACCTACGGCACGGGGCTCCTGCGCTCCACGCTCACCCTCGGTGCGCCGCGCGGGCCCCGAAGGGAGGAAGGGCCCTCCCCAGCCGGCTGGGCAGTCGTCCGGCAATTCGAAGTTCGAAGCGAGGGGGGTGGGCCAACGCTCTTGCAAGCTCAGGCTGAAGGCCTTGGGGTTCAACGTGGGCATGGCCTGCCTCGCGCGGCTCATCGTCCGACCGACGGCCCCCCGCGGTTTCCCGGGGCCGCGGCGCAACTAGCCAAACCTGGGCGCTTTTTGCTAGGTGGAGGCAGAGGGGAGCGGTTTCCCCGAGATGAAGGCAGTTTAGGGCGTGTTGGGCAGACCGCATATAAGTTCGGCGCGGTCTCACCGGCAAGGCCATGCTCTTCGGGAAGGTCCTTTTCAACTTCCTCACCTTTCGCGTGTCGCGTTCCTTTTGGCCGTCTCTGGGGCCCTCCGTGGGGCCATTTTGGCACTCCGTCCGAGGCTGGTGGCGAAGGCCTTGGCGCTCTCGCTTGGCGTGGGCGCCGGCCTCCCCCTCGGCAAGGCGCGACGCCGAGCGTGACGCAGCGCGCGCGTTGCAGCGCGTGAGCCGCTGCCTCGCGTCGGTTTTTTTATGCAGAGGAGGGCCCCAACGTGCACATGGCCGCCCGTCGCTCGGGGACACCGTGTCGCTGCACTGCTCCAGCCCGCCGGCGCCACAGCTACAGCTTACAGCTGCTGCTACGCGCAGAGGCGTGCATCGCTCGGGTGATCCACCCCTCCTTCTTCGAGATGCCCGGCAGCACTTTGAGATGTCTCTTGAAAAAAAGGATTGATTTATTCGAACGCAAGACTGAGAGTCGGTTTCCGGAAAGGAAGCGCGTGCAGAGCTCCCACGGTGCCCATGGGGCCGGGGGGAGCGGCGTGGGCTCCGCCGTGTCGAAGCTCCTCTTGGCCGCCTGTGCCGTTGGCGTTGGGGCCTCCTTCAGCGCGCCCATCGGCGGCGTGATCTTCTCCTTGGAGCTGATGCTGCCGCAGGCCCAGAGCCGAGAGTTTGAGAGCTTTGCTTCAGCTTTTTTGCTTTCGGTTGTTGTCTGTCTGTCTCTCTCCGTGCTCTCTCTCTCTCTCTCTCTCTCTCTCCCTCTCTCCGTGCGCAGACCTACGATGCCTTTGCTTACTGGGGCTGCTTTACGGCCGGCACTGGCCCTGGCGGAAAGCTTCTTTGTAAGCTCCTCACAGCGAAAGCCGCTATACTCGAACAGAAGCCGGTGCTACTGCGAGGCATCGTCGGCGCAATCACCTACGCTGTGGAGAGGACAGGGTTTCAGGGCAGAGGCGGAGAGAGGAAGAAGATGGAAGAAGACCATCACAAGGCTGCGACGCACAGAAGAAGAAGCCTGCTAGAGGACTTTGACGACCGGAAGCGCGAGCCTGCTGCCACTGATAAGTGCCCCTCCCAAGTGACTTTTTACTGGGCCCGAAAGCAAGGGCCCATGGTTTCTTGTGAGGTTCCAACGTGCTGCCCGGCGAGGGCTCCGACACCGACTTTCCGCTCCTGCGCCTCGCGGTGGACATTGTCCTAGGTGCGGCTCGCCGCGATCGCGAGTCTTTTGAGCAGCCCGGTGCGAGTCTGCGGGTGGCGGCGAGTGGCGATTTCTTTTTGTTTTTTGGAAGGCCTGCTGTGTGGCCTAGCTGGCGGCATCTGGGTCAGCCCAGCGTGGGTTGAATAGGCTTTTTTTGTAAAGCACGCGATGTGGCCCCAGGTGCGGTGCCACTCCTATGTCGTCCGACGCCCCAGTAAGAAGTTCGCTTTTAGCGCTGCTCAACAGATCTTCAAATCGGAGGCCGGCGTTCTGAAGCGCTGGCGACTGCGGGAAGGGGAGCCCTTGAAGGCCACATAGCGAGACTGTGTCAATGTAGTACTCCAGAACGAGCTTCGGGGAGCAAACAGGGAGCAACTGTACACGCTTTCGCGTTCAAGAGCAACAGTGCACAGGCACAACACAACAAAGTGAGTTAAACGGGGACGGGGCGGCGCATGGTTTGAGAGTCAGAGGCTCCAGGCGTTGCTTCTTGGGAGGCCAGTGGCCAAGAGCAGCCTTTGCTCGGCGGGCAGGCGCCGGCGCGGGCGTTGCGCCGCGCGGACGCGCTGACGCGCAGTCTCTTTCCTTCCGAAGTCTCGAACAGTCGCAGTCGCGGCCAGGCCCGGGCTCCGGGCTGCCTGAAGCGCTGCTTCCTTCGGATGCCGGGATCCTCCCTTGTTGGTATAGCCCTCTCGTGAGCAGCTATCTGCGCCGTCTGCAGGTTGGGAGGCAAGTGGAGAGACTTAGCGCTGGTGGCCAGCGTTCCCTAGATTGCATGAGTGAGTCGAGACGACCCGAGGCGCGTCGGATAAAGACTCGCCCAGGTCACTGCCCTGAACACTGTGCTGGCGTCCTCTCTGCCCCTGCTGGGAGGTAAGCCGCAGTTCCTGCCTAAGCTTTCTGGGAAGAACTGGACACAAGGCTGACGTAGTTTGCGGCTGAGGCCGCTATTGATCTCCACGATCTTCGACAAGAACTTGATGCAGAAAGATCCAGAAGCCTGGGCCCGCGGCCTCAGCTGGCTGCAGGCTGCCTCAGGGCGGCGGTTCCGCTCCCTTTTCCAGGTCCTTCCCTGGGCCGGCGTGGCTGGGACCATGGCGCTTTGCGCCTCGGTTAAAGGGGCCCTGGCAGCTTTGAAAGCCGCGGCCGCCCGGCCGCCTCCTTGAGGTTTTTTGATGAAATGGTGCATGACCATTCTTGTGACGGGCTGAGAGCTCTCCAACGTTGCCTCCGAGCTCAGCCGCCGCGTGTAACTGAGGCCTTGTCCTCTGCCATTCCTGCGGGAGCGGCTTGGATGTATACCCGCATTTCAGGGCTGCAGGCTATTCGCCTTCGAGCTGCGAGGTGGTCGCGCCGACGATGATTATCGGCGGTCTGCTCGGACGCGTCTACGCCCACGTGCTACTGTGCACAGCTCAGGCTTAGCGGCTGAGCACTAGCCGCTAGCCGGCAGTCTCGCTTAGCATCGAAAAACTCTCGAAGCTCCAATCCGTTTTCTAGGCCGGACTGGTTCATCGATCTTCTTCTGAGCAAGGATGGCGCCTTCCTCGATCTTTCCAAAACCGCAGGGGCCTGGCCACAGAAGGCGTCCGAAGCTCTGCCTCGAGGCCTCCCCCCTTCGGAGCTGCAGCGCGGCGCTTTCATGGCCCGCTGCAGCCTCGCCTGGAGAAGCACAGCGCTGCGATGCGCTGCGTTCTTAGCGCCACCCACACCCCCCCGCGGCCTCAGTCCGAGGCTGCGGCATCGTCGGTGCTTCAGCCTTCTGCGCTGCCGTCTGCCGAGCCTTCGCCATGGCCATCACCGTCTTCGAGGTGCGAGCGAGGGCGGTTGAACCGCGTAAAGACGTGTGTATAGTGGTCGTTAAAATTGTCCCCTTCTTCCATCTTCCGCCGCCCCTAGTTCGTCCCTCCGTTGCGGAGTGCGTCCTCCCCTCGCTTCTTCCGGTCCGCTGCCCCTTCTTTGCGTCAGGTCTTGGCGTTGCCGAACTCCGTTTTGCCTCTCTGCAGCTCCGCACTCACCGCGATCTTCGTGGCGAACAAGGTCGGGTCGCGTAACTCGCAGAGGATTCCTCAGGCTCGGCTGCAGAGCGGGCGGCAGCCGGCAGGTGTCCCTGCCCTTCTTCGATGCCAACTTGGCGGTGCAGAGCTCTGCTTTTTGTAGTGCTCAGCTGACCTTCGGAAGCCTTCCGCACTGCCCTGCACCTGCACTCGGCTCGGCTCCTGGTTGCAGACGCGGAATTTGGGGGGCATCCCGGCCATCACCTTCACGGAGCGGGGCCTAAGCAAGCGGGCTCAAAGCTTAGCTTTCAAGGGCTAAGCGGGAGCGGCGCCGCGGCCTCTTCAGCGGGAGGACAAAGCCATCGAGCCCGTGATGAAAGTCATGACCGTCGCTGACATGAGCGAATGCCGCTTGGGCAATTTCGGTTTCCGCTCAGGCCTGCGGGCATCTCCTGCTGTGGCTTTCCAAGCGCCGCAAGCGCCAAGGTTTGCCTCAGATGCTAACGCTGCGGCACCTGCTGCACGTGCCTTCTGGCGGCAGTTAAGATCTGCTGGCTTCGAGGCGGAGTCATGGTAGCGCCCTCGGCCCTCGGCTCTCTCAGGCTGACCAGCACGAAGCACGACTTCTTCCCCATCGATCGGAGCTCAGAGCCGCCGCCGAGCCGTGCCCGAGCCGGGGCCCCCGCCGCGTTGCGTTGTTGTCAGCGAGGTCCGGCCATTGGCCTGGGACGTTTCTGATAAGGAGAGGGAGCTGCTGCTGTGGCTGCTGTGGCTGTCAGATCTCTAGAGAACTGGTGGGGAGCGAGCGGGGTGCCCTGGGCGGTGCGCCCTTTGCAGGGCCTGCTGGAGGGGACCATGACCCGGAAGAACGTCGAGCCGCACGCTTGTGGCAAGTACAAGGAGAGAAAGAGAGAGCGAGAGAGAGAGGAACTTGTTCCTCAATGCAAGTTTCAAAAAGTATATGCCAAACGCCACAGGACCCGGAGTGTAGGCTGCACGGAGTCACCGGAAGAATGAATATCAGGGCACTGCAGCCACAGCTAGTGCCGCAACCGCCTCCAACAGCAGCGCGGGGAATTGCAGCCGCAACTCTACAACCGCCTTCAGCTCCAGCTCCGACAGCAGCAGGGAAAAGTGCAGCTGCATCCCGTGACCGCAGGACTCACTTACGAAAGGAGCGCTCCACTGCTACGAACCGACAGCCGAAGACAAGTGGATCTCCAGACAACTTGCAACATGTCGAGACGGACGGGGAGTACCACCGGAAGCCAGCGTAGTGAAGACCAGTGAGCGCTTTAAGGAAAACACACCTTGCGGTCTTGGTTGCGACGAGAGCAACATGCAGTTTTTTGGGGGGATTGTGTTTCTGCTTTGGTTTAGCTAGTGCTGTTCTGCCTGCTTTTAGGCTCCTCCACACTCCCGGGCCCCAAGTGTTTTCCAAGTTGCAAGTTGCTTGCAAACGACAGCCGCTGAGCCAAAGCCACCACTACCGGGGGAGCCATCCTGCACCCCACCTTTAATTGCACTGCTGCAAGCCGCTATACCTTTGAAGAGGGATCCTAATGCCAATTCGCTACCTAACTACTTGGGGGCACAGGCTGGGGAACTCGCCATACTCGTTCTGCACGGCTTGTGTTTCCTGGTGTTGCTGTACCGTACCAGGCGGGGGAGCCAGCACCCGTTTACCGATTTTTACATTTCCAGTACAAGACTAGTGCAGACTTGTCCGTAAGTTCCTAGTAGGGGAAGCCGCCGCCTGTCTTTATGACCTGCATGTGTTGTGTTTCGGCTGTTGCTTCTGCTTTGAAGGGCCAGGGGAACATTGTTGCAAACCGCTGTCTTTACTGGGGGAGTGTACCTGGCGAAGGACTAAGGAATGTGCTGTAAAGGGCTCGGGGATGAGACCGGCACGTGTGGGCTAAAGTACAGCGAGGGCTGGGTCCTTGCCAGGGTTGGGGGAAAGACCCTGCCTCTGCAGACCCCAAAGCCTCTTCCACCGCCGAATCCGGGACCACCTAGTGGACTCTCCCCTGAGAAGCGAAGCGAGGAGAGAGAGAGAGAGAGAGAGAGAGAGAGAGAGAGAGAGAGAGTAGCCATTTTGGCTCAAGCCGTGAGCGGTTCAAGCCTGTGTGGCACCCTCTGTGAGCCCCCTCTTCCTTCGTCTTCTTCTCAGTGCCACACAGGACAACCAACACACTTGCCTCTTCACTCCTGCTCACTCCTCCCGCTCTTCCGACGCATTGCGGGAGTCCGCGAAGCAAATCCGTGCGCACTTCTCCTTCCAGGTTCTCTTGCGCGAGTTCGGTGTCTACGGACCTGACGGGTGACCGCTGCCGCTACTGCCTGTCCCTTGCCCCGTTTGTGACTTGCTACCTGAAGGATATCGGCGAGCCTATTCGGGGGGTACCTCGTCGAGACGATCCGGCACAAGAGCTTCCTCGAACGGGGATTACTCCAAGGTCACGATCGTGATATTGGCAGGGACGCTGTGAATAATACCTTTGCCTACGATGGAGGGCGGGGGAATCCCGCATGCAGAGCCGCGTGGGGACCAGGCCCCGGCAAAGGATATTATCTGCATCCGGTGCCGTGTCATGGAGGCCACCGCCGTGAAGCACCCAATTGCATTCTAGCCGGTTGCGATAGCTCAGAGCCAAAAAAGGTGCAGGCTTTCCTCAGACAACAAAGAATCGAGAAGGCAGTCCAAGAAGCCATCAAGGCCAAGGAGGCTTCCCCCAGCTCTACGACCGCTGCTATGCCCAAGAGCTCTCTACTGACGGGGGTGTCCACTTCAGCACCGGGGGCTGCCCCTGAGACGGACAAACCCCTCTGTCGACGCTGCCTGCTTGGTGAGAAGAGTCACACCAAGCATGTTCCGGAAGCTGTTAACTGCATAATTCTAATGCTACGCAGCCCGCCTCGGCCGCCGGCTGCAGTAGGGCCAGCAGGGGCGCAGAGCAGGGGCCGTGTAATTTAGTTGCAGGGTCAGGCTACTTGGAGAAGTGTGGCAAGTGTAGAGCAAACACATGGGCCGGGGGAAGGCCCGGGGGGAGGGGGGCCGGGGAAGGGAGGGAGGGTCGGGGGGGGGAAGCTTCAACGAGGAAGCAGGAGAGCCAAAGCACGCGAACGAAACGGCAACAACAGCAAAACGACGGAGCTTCAAGGAGGAAGCAGGAGAGCCAAGGGCAGGACAACACGGAAGGGTGGACTGGCCGGCCGGAGGAGGAAGGGGGGGCCAGCAAGAGGGGGAGGGGGGGAAGGAAGGAAAACAAGCCAAAAGAAGTGCAGACAAGACGGAAGGGTGGGAAAAGGGGCCGGGGGGGCGGGGAGGGAGGAGGGCTGGGGGGGGCGAGGGGCAACAAAACAGCAAAACGAGAGCTTCAACGAGGAAGCAGGAAAGAAGCACGCAGACGAAACATAAGAAGAAAAGACAGTGGAGCCGGGGGCAGCCGAAAGAGAAGAAGAGGTGAAAGAAAACGAGCAGGCGAGGGGGGGAGGGGAGGGGTGAAACCATAAACCTCTAAAGGGGTAGCTCTAACAGGTACCTACAGCAATGGCTGCATGCTCATACATATACATTCCGCTGCCCATTGGCTCACAGTGGTTTTACCATATTGAGACAAGACAAGCTCTCCTTGCGTAGCAAGACAAAACAACTACTGTCCGTGTGCAGGGCGCTGCCCTTTGATCCTTAGGGAATAACTGGTCATACACCTCCTCACAAGGAGTATTCCTTGGGGGTGTATCGGCACAGTTTTCTGGTAGCGGAGCCCGGAAAGGGCCGCCCGCCTCACAAAGTCCGCTACAGCGGTCGGCCTCGCCGAACGCTTAACCAAGCGGATAAGAGGCAGCACAATGTCGAGCTCGCATAGCGAAGCCGACGGCAGTTCCCAATCCTCCGGGGGATATGAGAACGAAGAGACCTCCCAAGGTCCAGCTACTTATGTCGCACAGTCATATGCAACATCTGACCGCATGCTTGCATCATTAGGCATAACGCCCAAGATCGCGCCTGCCTATGATGGCACCACCTCGTGGTTTGAGTATGAACAGTTGATTGACGACTGGTGCGACATAACAACGCTGGATGACACCAAAAGAGGTCCGTCTCTCAAGACGAGGCTCTCCGGATTGGCCGCAGTACAAAAGGAATCACTGAACCGAGAAAGGCTTGCAGCCCTAGATGGAGTAGATTACTTCAAGAAGAAGATGCGTCCATTTTTCGTGAAAGGAGAACAGTACGTTTTCCTGTGGCGTTTCCTCGGCCTATTCAAGGCATGGAAGGGCAACCAAGACGTTGTGACTTGGATTGCTAAGTTTGAGATCGTGCTACAGCGCGTGAAAAACTCATGGATGGATCTCTTACCAGAGATAGCTCTGGAAGATGCCCATCCAGATTTCATGCAGGCTGTGCAGGCAGATCAAACCTTCTTGCGCCTACAGGATGCAACCGAGCGAGACACATACGCCGCACGTTTCTTCGAAACATGGAACAAGGAACGCCTTGATAATCATCGAAGATCGTTTCCTCTAAATGATAATCTCCTAGCTCTCCTCTTCCTAGTGCAGTCCGACCTAAATGAGATGCAACGTGAGAGGTTGGTAACAGCATTGACCAACCAAGCTTACCGAATTGAGACCTACACGTACCCTATAGTACGGCAGACCATGTTCGATCAGTTCTCAACGACCAGAACTGGTCTGCAGGATCCCAATATTCGGCACACTTCGCACAAGAAGGACCGCCATGGAAGGAGAGATCAACGCCGCAAACGCGGAGGTCGAAACTTCCTCATCCTCGATCAGGGTGAATACGATGGAGTCGATGGATTCTGGCTCCAAGACGAAGACACCCTCGAGGAAGGCTTTCTTGCCGCCGAGGATGAAGAAGCTGTCTTCTGGACAGTTGATGACCATGAGGCCTTCGTTGCAAGGAGATTCAAAAGGGAAGAAGACCAAGAATGCGTCCCGGATCACCGGGAAGAGCAAAGGGTGGCAAGCGAAAAGGACGTGGCCGTTTTAGGTCATACCGCGGAAAAGGGAGAGCAAACCAGGCAGAACATGATCCAACTGATTCCAGCTATTTCGGTAAAGGTAAAGGAAAAGAAAAAGGAAAAGGTGGAAAAGGCAAAGGAAAAGGAAAGGACAAAGGAGATAAAGGAAGCTCCTTCAAGGGTACAAAATCAAAAGGCAAAGGTAAGGATACAGCTAAGTCTGCCTCCTTACAAGGAGACCAAACTGGATCTCCACATGCCTATGAGAGTTCCACCGCACCGAGCTGGGATTCATGGTATGAGGACAGTTATTATACTGACTCCAGTTGGAATTATGCCGCTTATGACGATCAAACGTCTTATACATACTATGCATCACAAGCCTCACGAAGAAAGACACGGAGAAAGAAGAGAAGAAATCAGGCAGGATCATCAGGTAGAGGCACAGATCCGAGCGCGCACCAAGAACCCGTGTACAACTCATCAGTGAGTTACGTGCCCCAGGTCTTTGAACCATCCGAGGGGCAAGGTGTGGAGACTGCAACAGCAGTGTTTCCGTTGCAGCACACCGTTCTATCTGCTCTCACAGAGCGGATCAATCTTGATAAGAGCCCTACCTTTGTCATACTTGACTCTGGTTGTACTAGGGCTATGGGTTCCCGCTATGCGGTGAACAGTCTTATCAAGGCCGTGAAGCAACATGCCCCAGGCATGATTGATTTCACTTTTTCACCTTCGAACACGAAGTTCTCTTTTGCAGATAGTGAAACAGCTCTTATCAAGGAGCGTGTAACACTATGGTTTAACACAACTCCAAGAAGAGATACAACCATAGAAGTTTTGGATCAGGGAAGAGTACCCATCCTGTTCTCCATTGAACAGATGAGAAACCTAAGAATGACTCTCGAGTGTAGTCCCACAGCTGACCTAGCAACGTGTGAAGCTTTCGGTTTGTATAAAACCCCTCTTCCGATTAGTACCAATAACCATTTGGTATTGGACCTTCTAGGCTTTACTTCCACC